TTTGTTTTAATTTTCCTATTGTCCACTAGGTGCATAAGGCATTTGAAAATGGCGGCGATCGGACATTGCCAGCCATCTTTTTCTTTCGATTTTATACTGTTTTTTGGGCATTGGTATGAAACACAATAATTGTCCAAAATTTGAAGCTATCGACTTCAAATTTGGCACACATTTGAAGCTTGGTTCATTGACGGAACCTGTTGAAATTGGGGGAGCTGGGGGTCAGGAAACATTTTTTAAAAATAGACTAAATTATCGAAAACCGTTAATGACACCGACAAAATTCGTGAACAAAAAGACGCACAAGATTCCGCTTCATAAAATTTATTCTTGACAATTTTTGAAAAATGTACAGGGTGCGCCGCATATTTAAAAAAAACTGAGAAATGAGTCCCCCTACATTGAAAATTGGCGATAACTGATAACTGAAAGACAGCTAAAAGTTCTGTATTTAAGATATTCACCTATTGTACAGGGTGTTCGCGATATTACGTGCAATATGAAAAAACGTAATAGGTGAACTAAATTTGCAGTTGGCGACTTCAGATATGGCAGAGAAGCAGTCCATACCTACATTTAAGCTGTGAAACTGGGCACGCTCAAATATCGAGAAGTATTTTTTTAATAAATTTGAAATATTTTTCGGGTTATTTTGGTTTAGAGAAAAAAAAATCCCCAAAACTGTTATTTGCCGTCAATCAAAATTTGTATTCAGAGCTACAATTTTTGTATTTGCGGTCTTCGTCTATCACCTACGCTGCTCGAGATACTTGAAAAAATCCATATGAAAATCGCTTTTCCTCTCGCACACTCCAATCGCGATGACTGATATGATATGATGAATGATACTCTATTCGAAAAAAATGTAAAAAATCATAAAAAAAAACCGTTTTGTGGGTAAATTCTTGATTATAAATGAAAAACGTCAAAAAAGATGGGATAATTTGGTTTGCACAAATTTTACTGTTCTTGTCTATTATACAGGGTGGGCGAGATATTTGAATAAAAATATTCTATGTGTAAATCACTATTACTGGTCCAAATGTTTATATTTACCAAAGTTTCCCATAATTTTGAAAGTGAAAGTGAAAGTCACTTCATACAAGGTGTCGGCTCAGTAAAATTATATCGATCACGATAGAAAAACAATGCGTCTCTCTACGACAAGAAACCGCGAAACGGCTTTTGGAAATACAAAGCTGCTTCGAGCTACGCACTACGAACTTGCCCCGCCCAGCGACCATTTTTCAAAAAAAAATCTTGTTTACTCTCCTCCAGTTCTTGCTTGGCCACTTTCCTTTTCTCTCCGTATTTGTCATGTTTTGGTTTACAAATATTCTTTCATTTCTAATTCTATTTTTACAAATAGCTCAGAGAAATAAAAATTCAGATGGACACACTTTAAGTATGCGACAATGCGCAGGCAACAATTGCCGTAACACAAACAGGAAGAGGCTAAATTCGACTTCTATTGGTTATAATTGCCCGTCTTGAGACGCTGTTAGCATATTTTCGGTGCAACGAATACTCACTCGTCGTTGTACGAGCTGAAAAACTCTATGGAGTCTTCGAAAATTGTCGTTGTTAGTGATCGAGTACACCACACTCGGTAATTATCGTAGTAGTATCGTAATTCGCAACACGCAGCGTCAGAAGAATTATCTAGTACCTCTGTCATTTAATTAGCATGACGATGGAAACAACGCGAAAGTAATTTTCTGGAAATGACTCTGACTTAACAATCGACACATAAATTTGCAATATGAGCGGAGCGAGCTTTTTGATAAACAACGGATTGAAGAAGTTTCTCCATAATTTTTTTCAATAATAGATACACAGTGAGTCAACTAGTCAATATTTTTGGCGCAATCATTGGCGTTATTTGAATATGACGTCAAAGATATATGCAACGGAACTTTAATTAGATGCTACAGGGTGCCCAAGATACACGAATATATCTGGATGATTTTAAATTGAAAAATTTCGATTTTCACCATAAATAATATTATTTTTTCTGAAAGGTCTTACCAAAATCGACAACCTACTATTCTGACTAATATTATAATTGCTATAACATTAGTCAAATTTTTACCTCACAACAGCAAATTAAAAAAAGCTAAGTAGAGATTTTCCTAAACCTGAATTAATTGAAATGATTCTTATACTGGGTGAGGTGGAAAAACTACTTTGTCAACAGAAAGACTTCACCAGGCGAAGTACCAACGAGACAGTATCTTCATTGTTTAATGGAACCGATTGATACCAGTGCTGGTAATGAATATGAAAAATGGAAAGTGGTAAACCGGAAGGCTACCAATGAGAAAACAGAACTGGTAGTTCTACTTCAAGTTCAAGATAAGCACCAGATCAGTAGCCTTCAAGTGATACATCCAAATTTACCGTTAATTGCACCACCCGAAACCACAACACCTTTCCATATGGAACTACAGCAAGAACTTCTAGACCGTGATTTTGAATACAGAGTACACTCTGCACCGTTCTAAATGAAGCAAGAAGAAGGCGTTCCAATTTTTTTTCTCTAAAATAATGTTTTTCAATGAAGCTACTTTTCCCAATTATGATGCAGTTAATAGCCATACCATTAAAAACCAAGAGAGATGGTGATGGAAGAATGCTAAAACCCACTCATTTGCCTGCCAGTGTTCTACCTTTGTCTATTATGACCCGGTGTCGTACACTCGATAGAGATAGAGGACAATTACAGTAGTTTCTACTACAAAACAGGGTCGCATTTTTGAAAAACTGCTGCCGAAACTCGGAAGGCTGCCTTTAACTATTTTCGATAATGCACAATATCATTCTAGACTAAGTGAAGGTGTACCAAACGCGTCGACAAGAAAAGAAGAAATTGTCAATTGGCTACGCAGTAAGCGGACTAAATACCCAGAAAATGATCTAAAATGTGAGTTGTTAAAAATTGTCAAAAATTACAAAACAACATAGAATTGGCGTCTTTGGAAGGCAGCTCTTCAGACAGTTGCCATATAGATTCAACTACTTAAATAGTCGCATATCATTAAGAAACACCCTAATCTATTATTTCACAAAAATACATGAATCTATTTCCGAGTGTGGGCGTGCTACTTAAATTAATAAATGCTAAGTACAACTGATTCTGTATCTCTTACTCCCAATAAATATAACCGTGATTGTTAGTGACGGCTCTCTTACATTGATCAGACATTCGTTTGTAGTAATAGTAATAGTCAAATTGCTGCTTTATCTACGGCTTCAACAATATTCTTTCTATTCATTTTTTAATGTTAACTGTTGGCTATTAGATTTGTCATGGCCAAATAATAATATAGTGTAGTCGTAAACTGAAAGAAGGGTAAATATTGGAAAAGTCAAAATAAATCGAAAAGTATTCAAAATACGACGAAATAAGTTTTAGGTTTTTGTAAGATAATCCAAATAAATTTGTTTATTTCAAACACCATGTAGCACCAAATTAAAATATCGTTGCATTTAATATATTTATGTATTCTTCGCGATTTTTTGAGTACTTTAAAATAATTTAGATTTAATCTTAACAATTCTTACAACTTTTGTATTCCATCTCCTCGCAACTTTTGAAACCAATGAGATAATGATCTTTACTCTATGGTTAAGTCATCCTGTATAGAATGTCGCATTTAACATGAACACTATATAGGAGTTGAACTGAGGTGGCTTTTACTTGATGGAAATCCATTTATCAAAATAAATAAGAACTAAAAGTTCAGATTTTCACGAAATTATATATTTTGACATGATGATTGTTTCGACAACACCGTGTCTTTATCAAATGTAATATTTATAAACTACCTGCCATGACCATAAAACTTTAATTATTGTTGTTGTGAGAATTTAAGTTCTATAATGCATCGTTAAGCAATATATTAGAATGTCTCATTTTGTTAATCTCCATGGCTACCAATAAATTTAATTTTCTACTTTTTGTGGCTGTATGTAAAATATCAAAATTGTCGTCAAAAATGTGTTTTTCTGTGTTTAAGTGTGTAGCATAATTAGAATCTAGCCTATTGTTTTTAAACGCTCTTTAATGTTCGTTAATGCGCTTCTTGAAAGATCTACCTGTTTGTCCAATAAAAATTTTAGGACAAGATCCGCATTTCAACCTGTAGACACCTGATTTTTGGGATTTTGGAAATTTCGTTTTATTGTTTTTTAAAATTTTTTCTTATTGTGTTGTTAGTTCTGAAAGATATTTTTAAACCACATTTTCACAAATGTTTTGAAACTTTTTCACTATGTATGTAATGGTTTTAAATGTTCGTGTTCTGTATTGGGTTCCGGATAAATAGAGTTTACTGTTGTCTGGATTTGTTTTTTATTTATAATTGTATCTATAATGGACGGATTGTAGCCGTTGTTCAGTGCAATTTGTTTAATGACATTAAGTTCTTTGTTGTAATTTTCTGTTGAGAGTGACATATTAAGAAGTCTGTGTATAAAAGAGTGAAATGCAGTCATACGGGTGATTTGGGCTGTTATGTATGATTGTGTCCGTGTGTGAAGGTTTATGAAGGTTATGATAAATAAATTTTTACTATATAGGAGAGTATGAAGTTGCCTGCCTGTGGTATGTATTGTAATCCCTAGGTATTTGTACAATGAATGTTCCAATGAATACACTTCGGTAGGCGATTACTTCTGGTTTGGTTCGGCTACGAAGCCAGTATGAGCGTTATTTCAATTTGTTATTACACGTTGTAAACTAAGATGTTGGTTTTTATTTAGCAATTGAAAATATTTCAAAGACACTCTATATTTTTTTAATAAACTCCTATTGTATATAAAGTCTCTTAAAACAAAGATATTTAAACTTGAAATCAAGCAATGGTTGGTTAGTAAAGTTTTATATAGCGTTCAAGAATTATCCTGACTTTTGGTCTCTAATGTATGTCTTTAGTTTTTATTGACTTATTTTAAAACTGTATTTTGTAAATTTTTAATATTTATATCTTTCAACTTACTGCTACCGATTAGAACAGTCAAGCGTGGCGGACGACGGCAAAAAATTCCTAGACGTTAGACACAAACGACAAACAGACAAAACACGCGTTTCGTGGTATCTCGTAGACTTAATCCCGAAAGAAAGGCGGCCCAAATCCTTTCAACGTATGCCTCCCGGTATAGATAACGGAGGGTCCTGCCGGCTGCCTGGAATATGTAGGAAGAGCGGACAACATTTTCAGTTGCAGTTCGACCGTGGAAGCGTCGAATACTGATTTCGCGTCGCTGTAAGCATTTTCAACTTTCCGACGCGTGCCGGACAAATGGATTTAAGTGTCGACGCGGTTTTTCGCGAGGACCTCGAGTTTGGTTTTCGCCCGTCGGTTTAGATTTTGGAAACGGCTGTCGCCGTGAGAGCGACCGGCGTCCAGATGTTTTCTGAAAACTTTCAGTAAAAGAAACTTTGAGTTATTTGGTGTACGCATGAGAGGGGCGAAACGAAAGGAAGGTGAGGATACTATTTCTGACTGTCTAAGTCGTTTTAGATGAAAAATTTATAAAAAATATCTATTTTTTTGAGTTTGCAGTAAAAAGAAAATATGCAGCGTGGGTCAAAAAGTAGATCGCGATACTAAGTTCATTTTTTAAAGATTTTCGAGAATATGCCTACAAGGTTTCCAAAGAACCACATCATAGTAGTTGGCTTCATTATAAATTTAAGCCTGAAAAATACGTTGTTACTAAATAATTATTTTATCAAACATATTATTGAACCTGATCATGCTACTCGAGTAATCCAATACTCGAGAACTATATTTTAGACTACGTAATAGTTAACCAAGCAAGCTTCAAATGTTGTCGCCTCATAGCGATTGCAGACAATACTTTGTCTGATCATAACAAACTAGTATTTAACATCAATCAAAAGTAGGGAACGGAGTTAAAAGATTAGACCGCAACAAGTTTAGAGCACTGTTTATTGAGAAAATAGAGCTTATAAATATCCTTATTACATGCGAATAAGTGGATGACCAAGCACCTTTAAAAATTAATAAAAAAAGGAGAATGTGTACATAATCAGAAAGAAACATCCTGACAATCGCGATAGAGAGTGCAAGACTTTACAAAACAATGCAACAAATAATATTAAAACATAAAGAAATGCCTAATCATTAAAAGTTTTTAAAATTTAAAATAGGTTAAGTCCTATATTTAAGTTTGGTTGTAGAAAATGTAGGGATACTTATCGCAATATTACTGTTACTAGTCTGTTAGCAAAAATTGTTAAAACTGTGCTTAGGAAGAGTCTTTCAATAGTCACTCTACCTTATCTCAATAAGTTCGACTCTGACGAAAAAGAGTTAAATAGAAAAAGTTTTGACCCTCAGTATATATTTTATTTATAGTATTTTTATGTATACAGTGTGTTCCGTTGTGCCAGGACAGTAACCAGCTTTCTTTTTTTTATTGGCATGTTGTTGCTTTTATATGGAATTTAAGTAATTAAAATTGCACAGAGTAGGACAAGAATTTTTTCTACTCCCGTCTGTAAAATATCTAATTACCCACCGATATAGCGTGCGGGAAGCGTCACTTTACCACGTCAGTTTCTTTTCCCACGAATCCGAGGCACTTCGGATATTTCCGGGATTTTACCGCGCGGGTTTGGGAGGTTTCGGATGTTTTCGGAGATCCCACTATTTGAATTTTGATGTTTGTCAATTCTGACAGTCATGTCAGTGAACACATTACTAACGGTCGCAGAAAAAGTATGCAACACGTTCGGTTTTTAACTGACTCGTTTATTAAACACACGCTCCGCTCGTGTCAAATAAACTCGTGAGTCAAATGCCGTTTACCGCACTTGTTGCATAATATATTATAAAAATATACAAAATTTAATATATAGTAAAATGGTCTTGCACAAAATGTTAAATACAAATGTTGGGATACGAAAAAATTTTTAAAAAGTACAACATTTGATATAGAGTACACAAAATTTTAATTACAAATGTTGTTTTAACAGTATAAGAAAAAATTCTAAAAAACACAAAATTTTATGTAGAGTGGTCTCATTACACAAAATTTTAATTACAAATGTTGTTTCAACAGGATACGAAAAAAATTCAAAAAAATTCCAAATTTGATAGAGTGAAGTGGTCTTTTTGCAGAAAATGTGAAATACAAATGTTGTTTTTCCAGGGTACGAAAAAAAATCAAAAAAATTAAATTTGATATAAAGTGGTCTTTTTACACAAAATATTAAATACAAATGTTGTTTTAAAGTTCCAATTATTTCATAATTGTGACGTTTTGGAAAAATGTTAATTTTAGAACCCATTTATTATCCAAAGACCCATTGCGGTTACAGAAAATATTGTAAACTTTTTTATGGGGTCATTTAAACAATATTTTTTTTGTACTAGGCAAGACAACATTCATATTATAAACGGAATTAGCAATAAATTAAATATTATAAATGTCAATCATTTTACTATATAAAAATCTTCTGAATTCCTTCTTCGTCGTTTGTTTATAAATCAAACAACCGACGCAATCCTCCAATCTAGAAGATTTGGAAATAGTATTGCGGCAGTTTCTTTGCCAAAGTACCAACCATTACCACAAATTATCGCTATCGCCTATGTTTAGAAATAAATGGTGGCCATTCGAATCATTTTGCCAAATAAAATAATTAAATAAATAATGTAGTTAACCACGCCTGTTTTACAATCATCTTAATAATTACTGTTATTGTTTATATAGTAGATGTTTAACAATGTAACAAAGACGTCAAAATAAATACAGTGGAGATTCGATGGTGTTAGTGGTAAATCACTTGCCTTACGGCACTGCGTCCGAACGTCTACTATTGCCGATATAGGAAAAAAGAAAGATAAAATAAAAAGGTGATAAGATTATTTTATTTTTCAACCTGCTGTTCGACAATAATGCCTTACTCTTCCATATTTAAAATTTATTGAAATTTGGCATTATGGGCCCGGTTCTCGTAAAACTTTACGGCAAGCAGAACATCCAGTGATGGAAGGAGAAGAGTGTTCCTAGCATCTTGGGTAACAATGCAAACGTATTTCATTTTCTTTTCAATTACTAGCGGCTAAAGCTCGACAACTACTGCAGAACGTTTATAAAACAGATTTTTTGCACGGGTTCTTAATTATAAAAAAAAAACACAGATTAATGCATCCTAAAATCTGCTCCGAGTACTTATCAAATGATAAAACCGTTGTTAGTTCTTTTATTGCTAAACTCAGGGAAGCAATAAAAGTTCACGATCTTCTTCGTCAGCACATTTATTACGCAGACGAGCCAGGACTTTTTTGGAAGTTATAACCTGATAAAACTTTAGTTCACAGCAAGGGAGCGACAGTGTCAGGCTGAAAATCAAACAAAAAACGAAACACGTTTCTAGTTTGCACTAACGTTGATGGTGCCCGTAAAGTTAGGCTTCTTGTGATTGGACAAACAGTGAAGCCAAGGGCGTTCAAGAACTAAACTATACCCATTTTTAAGGATGGATTTTCCAAATCGTTTTACAAACGAGTGAAATCAAAAGACCAAAAACTTGGAGAAAAGTTGAATGATATCATTGCTGTGGGCAAGAATTAGTTATTGAAGATGGAATAATTTTCACCAAAGCTTTGAGCCAACCTATGTATCACAATCAGATTATCCAAGGTGAATTTTCGCAAATGTATTAAGATCTTACGGATTCAGTATCTTTACTCTATAATTCATGGAAAAAAGTAACCATAAACACTAGATCGGTCATAGTTAAGCATTCTTCAGTTATTTCACTTAGAAGACAATATAACATCTCCGAATATGTGAATAATGTGATATTGTAACATTTATAATATATATAATAATAATATTTATACACTTATTCTTAAATACATTATACTTGTTTTGACGACATTTGGGAATAAAGTTTAGTATTTTTTAAAATGTATTTGGATAAAAATAGAAAATTGGATAATTAGGATGTTTTACTAGTCTGGATTAACTCTTGCTTCAATTGTTCCTGATAATCGAGTCTCTACTGTAATGAAAGGACAAATGACAAAAATGACGACCTTTGGTCAACTAAGTGAAACTTTAATTTTTATCATTTCCTGTCATAAATATCAAAAATAGAGGTTAACGGGTTTTTGAATGAGCATATTATATACATTGTATTGTATAAAAAAACTTTCAGTTGCATCCTAGAATTTTTTTTCCAAAATCTGCAGGATAAAAGTTAAGAATTTACATACGAATGTTATTAGTTAAAGCAACATCAAATATAAATACTTTGATTGGCTTGTAATGGCGAGACAGGTATAGGTTGGGTAAAATTGAGCACAACAAGTTAGTAAACAACATAAAGAAAAGCTTTTATCAGCAAAAAATTGTTAATTCTGAAAATATAGCAAAATCCAACGTGGAACGTGGAAAAATAATAAAAAAATTGAAGATCCTCAGGGCGGCTCCTTTGGAAATAACCAGAGACATGTACTTATTAAAAGTTTAAAGGTAAACACTTTGCTGGATGCGATGATATAACGAATTTTTTGATTAAGGGCATCTTAATATTCATTATAAAGCCATTTACCCACCTAGTAAATTTATCCTTCTGTGAGGAAAATTTCCTTCAGTTCAAAAAATTTGAAAGATTATTCCATTACATAAAAAAGGTAGTGAAACAAATAATAATAATTACGGTTCCCGAAGTAGAAGTTCCTCCATTCAAGCAGTTACTTTATTCTTGGAGGGTATTGCTAATTCTATAAAATCCGGCGAGTGTCCTGTTGGGGTCTTCTGGGACCTCAGCATACGGCGACATAATGTTATGGAAAATGTCTTGCAATGGTATAAGCGGTCCTCCGTTGAAATTTGAAATTTTATCTTATAGGAAACAATATGATAGCCTACAATGTAGTGCTTTGCACAAGCGGATGTTTTGGATGGAGTTTTTTCCCTGCCAATTTTTTTTTTTTTGACAAAAACACTAAGTATCATTTCATTTTGAATAAAATATGTCACGTAATTTTTAAAGAAATATTATTGTAAATAAATAGCTATTAGATAAACCAGTCAATGAAAGATTTTATTTTGTTACTTATTTATGTCTTAACGATACAAATTATTTTATATTGAAACATAGTTATTATAATTTAACATTTATATTGCATTTCAGGAAAATCATGTAGTTTTTCTTTTATCGAGAAGAAGGATACTATTTCATCAAGCAAATATTGAAATCTGTCCAAAACTTTACCAATGCTAAGCCATCTCACTTCAGTGTAATAAGAAATTTCGTAGAAGTCACTTTCAATTACTTTCAAAAATTCAACAAACTGTCGATGATTTACGGTACGTCCTCGGATAAAATTCACAACTTTCATCACAACAGTAACGACGTGATTCAATTTCAAAACTTTTCTGCATAGCACTTCTTGATGAATAATGCAGTGCAAAAATAATATATCGTGTTCTGGTTGTAAC